CAAATGCAACCCCTCCTCCTGCCCTTCACTTGCTGCCATGTGGTCCTGGTGGCCGTCATCCACCCTAAGTGTCACAGCAGCTGTAAGAGAAGATTCCTGTTGCCTGAAACAGAAAGTAGAGATTTTGAGCATAAAGTTTGTAACAGGCAATATTCCGGAGCAGGCAGAGCCACATGCAATGCTACTGAATTGCAGAGACTTCATCTGTAACCTCCCTGCCATCCCTGATGAGATATGGCCTAGTATTCAAAACAGGAGACAGGACAAGGGACACCTGGTTTTTAACCTTGGCACTGCTCAAGGTTTATGCTGAAGCTTGGGATTTCAGCCAGACTAGACAGGCTTTTCCTTTCCCCTCCTGCAGTTACTCCCCTCCTGAAGTCTGTGGGCACCAGTTCTTCCTCAAACCTTCACAGCCCTGACGTCGGTGGTGACTGCTCGCTCTCTCTGTTTCCTAGGATCCATCACTTCCATCCGCTCCCAGCCCGTGGGAACATGTTCCTCTCTGAGAGTCCCAACGGAGTCCCTCCAGCTGGCAGTCCGTTCCCCCAACCACGAAGGCCGCCACCGCTGGAAGATCCTCCCCCCCCACATTGCACCTCGATCTCCTACTCTCAACAAGCTGCTGTGCAGACAGGTGAGAGGCCAAGAGCCTGCAGAGGTAAACTCCTTCATAGTCACCTGGATCTTTCCCTTCTTTTCCAGTCCCTTCCTGGGTTTCTTTTCTTGGAGCTGAGAGCAGAATTCCCCTTTTTAGAACAAAACATTTCTGGTGCCATAAATTTTAATATACTCCAGTCTCAGCAAGTGACATACAGGGGAAGGTCCTTTTTACCTACTTTCATCTTTGTGGATGTACTGTTCTATGAAAGAATAGCTCAAGCATAGAGAGAAGATGCCCAATTCAGTTTTGCCAGCACTGTGACAAGCCTGCAGTCAGCCCTACACCGTGTCCCTTTGGACAGTTTGCATTGACTCAGGATGTGGTGCTAGAGCAAGACCAAGACTGTGCAGAAGGACCCAGCAGATACGAGCCCTGTACACGTAGGCTCCGGGTCGGCTTGCTGGCAAAGTTGCGTCCTCTTGTATGGGGAGGGTCTGA